TCTCTGTGTGTCTCTGTGCAAGGATAAGGTCAAGTGTTTGCTAAGCAGGTATACTACATGGTTTAATAGATGCCAAGACCTTTTCTTTTAAGACTGTTCCTCACAAAGCTTTTTAAATGACCATTTATTGATGAACGTCATGAAAGTAATGTTAGGAAATAGTCGGCCTAATCTGCGGGAGCATTGCAGCTCCTCTACGATTTCCTTTTCCTTGGGTGCCCCCTCGTGATCATCACTAGTGTAGCCAAATTCATTTGGACTGGCGCAGAAAGAAAAAGCAGTATCCACTTGCTATCACCTTATAACGCTAATCCATTTCGAAGTCCTTCGTTTCTCCCTCTATCTAGTATCCCTACGACTTCATCTCCAAAGGATCCGTGTGCAAATTTTCAGGTTGAATACATAGTTTATGCTTTTTCTTGGACAGTGCAAAACCAAAGAAGGCTTCCTCTGCTTGTGTTTTGTCCCAGGCTATGTGGATTTTCAACCTTCTTGAGAGATTCCATCAATGCTCTTAGACTTGATTGTAAGAGGAGCATTTCCAGCTGAAATGCTAGAGAGCTGAGGATGCTCTCAGCAGTTGATGAAACCAAGGGATTAAACTTTAGGCCTCTAGCTGAAAATATTTCCCACATCGGCTGGAGCATTGGGAGGCTCAGTAACCAGATGCTTTTGGTATGACCAAAAAGCCAGAGAGGCTTTTCTGTCACATGACACTTAAGCATCTGCTTCAAAACATTATACTTACAGAAGAGGATCATCTCTTGTGGAAGTAAGGTAATGTGTTATCAGCTTGCTCTAGTACATTCCCCGCTGTGAAGTTCAGCATTTGTGGGAGCAGAGTGGGATTCCCTCACATGCCAGAATGGGATTTGTACAGGCTATTTGAATTCTTCTGAATGTTGTCTAAGCAGTAGAAAAAAAAATAAAAATCTAATTTTGAAGCAAGTGAGAACAGTTCCTCTCTTTGAAACCTGAACAACTGGATGTCAAACATGCACACACACGGGTGGCTTATATTTGGGGTTTCTGCAGACAAAGCAGGAAGGAAATTGGTTGGTGTGGGCTAACAAGACATCCTGATTCATCACTTTTTGTCACACTTAGGAATGAGAATAGAAGGTATGAAATATGAGACTAGGTGAAATGGCAAACAGATCCTTCCCTCCCTTTAACAAAAAAAAAAAAAAAAAAAGGCAAAATACTGCAGGGAATGGGGTTTAGTCAATACAATTTTTTAATTGATCAGCTCTTACTCTCAGAGTAAGACAATTTATGAACGATTATTATTTTGATAGCCTTAGTGAACTGAGTTGCAGCTTATTCATTCAGCACACTGAATATTATTGGTGAAAAAAAGTTTAAACCCTCTTGCATACAGAAAGGACAAAGATCTTACAGAGGCAGAAAATGACTTACATTTTGTCTGGTAGAAAATGATCCTACAGATGTTTGAAATATTTAAAGGGTATTGTAGAAGAAAGCTTGCAGGAGTGGGAGGCAAAGGACTTCAGTCTTCAGGACTGGAAACCCATTTTTTTTCATCAGCACTAATGTCACCTTATACGAAGATAAAAATTAAAACACACTCCCTTCTTCAGTATGGCATTTAATGAGCTTTTTGGCACAGCAGCGGTGTCAAACTCTCACTAGGGCCCTCTGCTGCTCACAGAGTGAAAAACTCCAAACTTGTTTGGGACTCCTAGAAAAGGCTTAGAATGCTTAAAACAAGCAAAACGCCAATAATCTTGCAAGGGACGTAAAACTTAAGTCCTCAAGGATCAGGACTACATTAGTCTTTACCGATGTGAGCTAAGAAGAGGCTTTTTAATGAGCAGGTATTTTCAAACTCCTTGCTGCAGGATATCTTGCATTCATGCTGGCTGCTGGCAGGGGCACAGTATGCAAGGCTGCAGCTTATCTGGGTTGATAGTTGTTAATTAAAAACTTCTGATATTCAAGGGACTTTTCTGAGAGAGAAAACATATTTATTTCATTAATTTTTCTCCTCTTATTATTGCTAAAAATATTTTTTATCAGGGATATAATTTTCCTCTGGTATTATCCACATAGTGTCTGATTTTGTAAGATCACTTGGCTGCTGTGGCACTCAGTACCTTAACCAGCAGCAAAAGGAATTTTAGGAAGGAAACAAACTCCAAAAGCAGAATGAATATGAGAAACCAAAAGTTCCTATTTTTCACAAATACATCTCTGAGAACAGAAGAGAAAAAGGACAGTAAGAAAGCAGCCCAACTGGGCATATAGTGACACGATCTCCATTATGATATTGTTATTTTCCTTTTGCAGAATCCCAGAACCTGAACATTTTTAGGCATGTGACACAATTTCATGGCTAGGAGATGCTCAGCTTTCTGGATGGACCAATACAGCTTTAGTATGTACCCCAATATGCCTCTAAATGTGCTACAGCAAGTGATTTTTATGATACAATAGGCATCACAGAAACATGGTGGGATGGCTCCTATGACTGCAGTATTGGAATGGAAGGTTACAGGCTCTTTAGAAAAGACAGGCCAGGAGGACGGGGAGGCGGACTTGTTATTTATGTTAGGGATCGGCTGGAGAACTCTGGTGTAGAACTCCGGTGTAGAACTCCAGACAGGTGAGCAGTCAATAGAGAGTCTGTGGGTCAGGGTTAAAGGGAAAACAGCGATGAGAGACATTACTGTGGGGATCTGTTACAGACTGCCTGATCAAGAGGAATCGGCGGATGAAGCACTCTACAGACAGATAGGAACAGCCTCACGCTCACAGGCCCTTGTCCTCATGGGGGACTTCAGCCACCCTGGTATCTGTTGGAGGAATGGTACTGCCCGGCACAAGCAATCCAGAAGGTTCCTTGATTGTGTGGAAGACAACTTCCTTCTGCAAGTATAGAGGAGCCGACAAGGAGAGGTGACATGCTTGACCTCGTGCTCACCAACAGGGAAGGGGTCGTCGGAAATGTGGCACTCCAGGGCAGCCTTGGATGCAGCGATCATGAGATGGTCAAATTCGAGATCCTCAGGACAGTGAGAAGAGCGTGCAGCAAGCTCACTGCCATGGACTTCAAGAGAGCAGACTTTGGCCTCTTCAGGAACCTGCTTAGTAAGGTTCCATGGGATATAGCCCTAGAGGGCAGGGGGGCCCAAGACTCTTGGTTGATATTCAAGGATCACCTGCTACAAGCTCAGGAGTGTTGCATCCCAACTAGAAGGAAGTGCAGCAGGAGGGCCAGGAGACCTCCTTGGATGGATAAGGAGCTGCTGAGGAAAATTTGAAGGAAAAAAGAGGCTTACAAAAAGTGGAAGCAAGGACAGGTGGCCTGGGAAGAATACAGGGATGTTGTCCAGGAAGCTAGGGACCAGGTTAGGAAAGCTAAGGCCCAGTTAGAATTAAACTTGGCCAGGAATGTGAAAGCTAGCATGAAGGGATTCTATAGGTACACTGCGAATAAAAGACAGACTAGAGACAATGTGGGCCCCCTCTGGAAGCTCTCAGGAGAACTGGCTACCCTGGATTTGGAGAAGGCTGAGGTTCTGAATGACTTCTTTGCCTCAGTCTTCACTGGCAAATGCTCTGACCACACCACCCAAGACTTGGAAGGCAGATGCAGGGACTGTGAAAATGAAGACCTTGGGCCCACTGTAGGAGAGTCTGGTTTGAGACCATCTTAAGAACCTGAATGTGCACAGGTCCATGGGACCTGATGAAATCCATCCGAGGGTCCTGAAGGAGCTGGCAAATGAAGTTGCTAAGCCGCTGGCCATCATATTTGAAAAATCATGGCAGTCAGGTGAAGTTCCCGACGACTGGAAAAAGGGAACTATAACCCCCATTTTCAAGAAGGGGAAAATGGATGACTCAGGGAATTACAGACCAGTCAGTCTCACCTCTTTGCCTGACAAAATCTTGGAGCAGATTCCCCTGGAAGGCATGCTAAGGCACATGAAAAACAACAAGGTGTTTGGTGACAGCCAGCATGGCTTCACTAAGGGGAAATCCTGCCTGACCCGATTTGGTGGCCTTGTGTGATGGAGCTATGGAACTGATGGACAGGGGTAGAGCGGTTGATGTCATCTACCTGGACTTGTGCAAAGCATTCAACACTGTCCCACACGACATCCTGGTCTCAAAATTGGCGAGATACCAATTAGATAGGTGGACCACTCAGTGGATAAAGAACTGGCTGGATGGCCACACGCAAAGAGTTGTGGTCAATGGCTCAATGTCCAGCTGGAGACCAGCTATGAGTGGTGTCCCTCAGGGATCGGTGTTGGGACCGGTCTTGTTCAACATCTTTGTCGCTGACATGGACAGTGAGATTGAGTGTGCCCTCAGCAGGTTTGCCAATGACACCAAGCTGTGTGGTTCGGTTGATAGGCTGGAGGGAAGGAATGCCATCCAGAGGGATCTCGACACACTTGTGAGGTGGGCTGATGCCAACCTCATGAAGTTTAACCATGCCAAGCGCAAGGTCCTACACCTGCCTCGCAGAGCGCCCTCCCTCCCCCTCAACCAGCCCGCAAGACCTACGCGGTACCCTTACAGGCCCCAGCGCCCGGGCCGCAGGAAGAGGTTCGGTAACAGTCATGCCTGCCGCAAGGGGAAAGCAAGGGCCTAACGGGCCGGACCTCCCCGTGAGTCCTCTAATCGCTGCTAGCCTTTGACCCCCGCTGCGGTGCCCAGTCTCGCCTCGTTCAGCAGACTGCTTCCATCAGTTACGTTCGGACAGCGGGAATGCACACACAGTCTGCAGTCGTTTAGTGGGAGATGGAGAGGGGAACTCCAAAGTCCATGGAGGAGCCGCAGCCGCCCACTACGCGTGAGAAGCCTTGCCCCACGCAACCAGCGAACCCACCGCATCTCCCCCCACCGGAGGTGAAGGCGGGGCTGCTCAGACGGGTGGGGAGCGGCAGACGAAGTCTCGCGAGAGCTGGCGACGGCTGCCGCTGCCGCGCTCCTCCCCGTGCCGGTTCTGGAGTGTGGGGCCTTCGCCGAGGCTGGGATACCTCGCGTCGTGCCGGCCGGGCGGTGGTAGCGGCGGGGCGGCGGTAGCGGCGCGCCCGGGGCCTGGCCTCGGCCTAGGAGCGCTGGGCAAGATGCCGGGCGGCCGGGTGTGCGCCGCCTGCGGCTGCTCGGAGATCGAGGTGGACGCGGCGCGCGGGGATGCGGTGTGCACGGGCTGCGGCTCGGTGCTGGAGGACAACATCATCGTCTCCGAGGTGCAGTTCGTGGAGAACAGCGGCGGCGGCTCCTCCGCCGTGGGACAGTTCGTGTCGCTGGACGGTGAGAGCCGGGGGGGCGGGGTGGCGCGCATGTGCACCAGGCAGGGGGGTGTGGGGCTTGCGCGGAGAGGGGACAGCGGGCCGTGCGTGGGGAGAGGGTGCTGGGAGAGGGTAGGGTACAATGTATGGAGGGAGGATGTTGGGGATAGGGGAGAGAGTGGTGGGGGACAGGGGACAGTGCATAAGGGAGAGGGATGCTGTAAGGGGTATGAAGGACAGGGACAGTGCAGCGGGGTGAGGGTGCTGTCGGCTACTGAGGGCAGGGACAGGGCACGAGGGTGCTGAGCCGGAGGGTGGGGTTATGGGGATGGTGCATGGGGGTAAGGTGCTGGGGGGTAAGGACAGTGCATAAAGAAAAAGGTGCTGTGTAAAGAGATTGGTGAATGGGGGATAGGGTCTTGTGCAAAGGTGTGTGGGGGACAAGAGTGTTGTGCAGAGGAGTCTCAGTGGTGGTGGAACTAAGTTCCTTTAAGGGACCCTTTCTCTTTTGTGCATGTGGGATAGTGCTGCACGAAGTGGAAATAGGACAGTTATTGGATGGTAGGGGAGGACAGTGTGCTGTGCAAGGTGAGGCAGAAATTGGGTTGGGAGGAGTCTGGGATGAATGAGGAAAACGATGGGAGAGATGCTTTAGGTGATGGGAGGAGGTGCATGAGGGACTGGAGCTCTGCCTGCTTTGGGGGGTATATGAGAGAAGGCTTCGGGCTCTGTATGGAAAGACTGGGGAGATATATGAAATTATTTGGAGTAGAGGCCAGGAGAGCTGGGTAGAGGGACTATGTGAAGGCACAGGGGTGGTGTGGTGGAGAAGGAGGCTGGAAGGGTCAAGAGACTTCTGTAAATAGGTAGGTAGGGGTGTTTGTGTGAATGCCCTGGAGGATAAGGCCTGTGTGCCTGGAAAAGGCCATGTGAAGTGGGCATTGAGTTTGGAAGGGGAGAGAAGTAAAACTGATGTGGGCACTGTATGTAAGAAAGAAGCATAAAGAAGAAACAGGGGAAGGAATGTAGCAGTGAAACAAGGGGGACTGATGGATTGTATGGCTGTGGTGAAGACAGAAGAGTTGTGGTGGGGAGGGCAGCACTGGATGTTGGAGTTCAGGAGTTTATTGTAGACTAGGCTTTGTCTGATGCTATTCATGTCTTCCAACTGAAGGTGCTGGTGTTATTTTATTTTATTTTTTACAGCTTATGAGCAGCTCTTGTAGCCTCCACATCACCACAGGAAAAGTGAAGGGTACTTTTTTAAGGGCTTGTACTGCTTTTTACCTCCCACCCAAAATTACACGGGACAGATGGCATGCAAGCTAGAGTACATTTTAGGATGCGTTTACCCTACAAAAAAAAAAAAAAAAGGCAAAGGAAAAGAGAGAACTGCACCATACTGTGGCTTTTTCTTCTTCTAGATGAATTGCACAGTACCTTCCTAAGTTCCTTTAAGGAACCCTTTCCCTTCTGTGCAAGTCCTGAGATGCTGCTGTTGGCTAATACTTTTTTTATTGGATAGTGCATTAATTCTTGGATTTTGTATAGCTACATAGTTGCCTTACTGTACAAAAAAACCAATTCTAGCACCCACAGAGACAGATAAGCTCAGTGGGGATAGGTGGGTGTGTAAAAGTGGAATGGGAGCACACTCTAGCATGCTTATAGTGGCTTTATCTGGCTGCACAAGGTGTGGTTGCAGGGGCTTCACCATGTGTGAAAATCTTCCTACTATGGTCTTCTAGCAAGTCCCCATTTGCATTAGTGATGTATTTTGGTGAAGTATTGCTTGTGGAAACAATAGAGCAGGACTTTAGAAACAACACTTTGTAAATTTACTAAGTTACTGCAAGGGCTAGTGCAGGTACTGTTTCACAGTAAACATTTTAAGGAAGTTTGGATTTGGGTTGTTTGTGGTGGTGTAATTCTTTATGTTTGAAAACAGATGCTTCTGTTGTGAATAGTTTTTTTTTGCTTGACTTAAACTGAGTGATGCAAGCCAATTTGAAAAGGTATTTGTGCTGTGATAACAGTGTCTTCATGATATGTGCTTGTCCATTATGCTTGTATGACACTGATTTAAGTCCTTGGGAATGGGGAGAAAAGTCCTTTCTTGTGTACGCAAGGCAGAGTTTGTATCTCTGAATGTTGTGCTGGCTAGAGAATTTCTGACAGAATTTATATTGTCAGAAAACGTGTACTTGCTGAAAGCAACACTTTCTGGTAAGCCATAATTTTCAGTGACTTCTGATTGTGTAAGCAGGTTCCCATAAAAGTTAACTCTTTTTAACACCTTTTCCTGTCCTCTGTTAGCTCTTCAGGTCTATGGCTCTGAGGGATCCCCTGTGTATGAAGTAACTTGGGCTCAGGTTCCTCAGACTGCAGTCTGGTGATCACAGGCAGCCCTAACGTGTGGAGCGTTTGCAGTGTCAGAGGTGCTTAGGCTGCTGTTTCTGAGACCATGGCTGTTGGTCAGTAGGGCTGGGTGACTTGGAGATCGTTGTCTAGGTTTTGCAAAGTATGAGGGCTGTCGGGTTCTCTGTTGCACAGCTGGGAGTTGAATAGGAGTCTTGGTGTCTGTGGGGTTCAGAGCCCCTGGATGTGCAAAAAGAATCCCAAACCCTCCGAAGATACACGAGCGCTTCTGTTTGTGTGTTTATGTATGTCAAACAGTTATGGATCCCTTTCTTCATAATTTAATTTTCATAAAGAAGCAGGAGAGAATGGAAAGCACTGAGGTCAACTGTTACTGACTTTTCTTTGGTACATCTAGCAAAGTATTTTATTTTCCCAAGCAACCTGTTAAGGATGCAGAATCTTGCATTTGTTTGCTGAAGGAGGAAGAAAGTCCTGCACTTTTCTATTTTAATACAAAGTTGCCTGTCTGAGGCATGCCAAGTCCTTACTAGTAAGCTCAGCAACCCAGCTATAAACCATGGGAAATCCCTTCTTTTGTTCCTTCAGGGCTGGAGGAAGGTGTAAGGTAACACTTAAGTGTTCCCAGGCAGTATTTATGTTTAGCTGTCAATGTGTCTAGTGTAGGAAGCCACAGTCTCACCACTGATGCCTTTCGTTCAGAAGTTTAGTATAGCCGGTGTTTTCCAAAGCAGGTGTGTGAGTCTGTTTCTTTCGATTGTTTTGACAGGTCTAACAGCTGAGCATTGGTGTGCTGGGAAAGCATGGCTTGTGCTTGAAATTGAGTGAGAGGCTTTGCTTTGCTGATGCATGAAAGTCTGAGGAAATGCAGGCTGCTTCAGTCTGTTGAGCAAAGGGTAGAATCAGTGAAGGACAGAACAGGAGGCTGTAGAGGTAAATTTGGGTGAAGTATTTTTTTTGGCAAAGTGGCGTGCCTTGCAGATCTGTTGGAGCTTTCTAAAGAAGTCAGTAGGTGGACAAAGCAGACTGTTGGATTTGTGAAGGGAAGTCAGGAAGATCCTTCACAAGAAGCTTTTGAAGAATCTGGGCTGTTGTGGATAAAGGAAAGTCCTTACAGAGCAGAGTAATTACTCAAATTATAAGAAAATAGAATAAAAATAAATAATAAGCCTTCTTCAGGAGTAGCCAGTGAAGCTCCATAGAGTCAGGGCTGATCTGCAAAACAGGTGAATGGTGAGTTAATGAGGTTTGCTGGTAGTATGATTTGGGGTAGTGAATCATAGAATAGGTAGGGTTGGAAAGGACCTTAAGATCATCTGTAGATGTAGAAGGACCTGTTGCTTTTAGTACCTGGGTAGTAGGGTAGCAGATGGGATTAAGTGTGGCAATGAGAGTTAGGATTGTTCCTTTCTTCCACATGTGGAATGGCAGCATCTGGTCTGGCTAGTACAATTAGGGAAGGAGGTGACTAGATTTTAATGGGTAGCTCTGTAGAAATGTTTAGCTCAATGTTCATTCACAGTACAAAAAAGGAGAGCAGGAAGGAGAATATTAGAAGTTATCAGGAAAAAAATATGACAGCATTTGCATACACTATTACATATCCACAGCACTATCTGCAGCTTAAATACTGTGTGCAGTTCTGATGTGTTTTTGTCTTGTATATCCTCAAGAAAACCTCTAACACAACTGGAAAAAACACATCAAGGAAGATGGGGTGATTAAGAGGAGGGCGTTGTGAAGACCTTGTGTTAGAATGAATAGATTCAGATGATTGAATGGGAACATAGTAGAGGTCTGTAAATACTGTAGAATAACATGGTAAGGATGAGCTATTGTTCTGTATCACATAGCGAAAAAACTAGGGAGTGCTGAGAAATCTAGCAGGTAGCTTATTTTGAAAGTAGCAGGTAGGAGGTTCAGAAGCATTAGGTTCTTGTGTGTTTGTTTTTGTTTTTTTTTTCATAAAAGATATTTAGTTAAATTGTGAATCTTAAGTTGTAGGTGTTAAAAGTTTGTATCAGTCAGAAGATGACTGGGCAAGCAGAATAAAAATGTGTCATGGCCCTTAAAAAAAAAAAAAAGCTGGTGTTTCTGGGTCAGGAAATTCTTGAGCCACAGATCTGTAGGCTCTAGGAGATAATGAGAGAACTGTTGTTAACAAGCTTTCCTCCTGTGTGTAGTATTCACTTGTAGCCACATATGTTAATGGACTTTATGGTTCAGAGGTAGCACACTGGACTAGATAGCTTTCTGATCTGACTTGGCACAGCTGTTCTTGAGTCTTCGGGGGTGATTAATTGAGCTCTGCAAAGATGCTTTTGAGGGTTTTGACCCTCTTTTAAAACTGGTCCAAGACTCGGGGAGCTATGGTTTTACAGCATAAAGTGTAGGTGTCCTTAGGTATTAATACTGCTTTTTTTTGTTGGTTTGTTTGAGGGTTTGTTGTTTTGTGGGTTTTTTTTGTTTGCTTTTTTTTTTTGTGTGTGTGTGTGTGTGTGTGTTTTGGAAAGTTGCGACCAGAACAGTCCTCTGACTTTGACAGTTATGTAGATACATTCTCTCTTGAAAATGCTTGGTTAATTCTTCTGTCCTTCTTGTGAGAAGTAGATGGTAGAGATATTTACAAGTGTGAGAGTCTGT